TCTCTCTCTCTCTCTCCTCTCGCTCTCTCTCCCTCTTTCTCTCCGCCGCCTCAAAGTTTTCTTCCCCCACCCCTCCTTTTTTCCGCCCCTTTGACCACGCTCCGTCTCCGTCCGGCCCCCGCCGCCTCGGGCGTCGGCCCCCCGGGGTGTTTGTTGTCCTTCCCAAATCGCCGCCCATTGGGCTGTGTGGCAGTTTCTGACGACACCAACCTCCTCCGCCACCCCCCTCAATTCCCATCCCACGCCACTAAGCCGAGCTAGTGTCACTCATTATCCCGTTGCCTTGGCCTCTGTGGTGACGACGCTCTTTATTTGGTGCGTCGCATTTGAGTGTGATTTCCGGTTAGATTGTCCAGTTACTGGCTGGTCCCCCTTCACACTTCCGCCGCCCCACGACGCCCCCGCGCCGCCCCCGCCACCCCCCTGGGCCGGGCGGGGCCCGATCGTGGGAAGGCCGCCGCGCTGGCGAGTGTTTACCCCGCAGTGGCGTCGCGTGCGCCCGGAGAGCGAGTAGGCGGGCGCGAGCGCGTTAAAAGGGAAAACAAAAACCCCCCGGACTTGTGTGATGCGGAGTTTTTGTGTTGTGTCCCGCCGCCGTGCCACACAGGCGGCCGGGGAAGGGCTTGATGTCGCCCAACTCCGGTGTCCCCCGCGGGACAATGTAGGTCAATCCAGGCTGGACGACGCGGCCACCGCGAAGGGCTGAAGTGTGAGAGCATGTCGACCACGGGCAGCGCTCGGCGAGGTAGGACCAGAGGGTACACTCCCCCCAAAAAATATGTTCTTGATTCTGGGATTTGCCATTAATTTTCAAGACAAATCTGTTCTTACTTATTAAAACCCTTTCCCCCCTCAAACAAGTGATTGCTTTCTAACGTAAGGACGTCGTTCTTAAAAATTTAGGACCTTGCACTACAATTAGAATTTTTTTTGCGTCGATTTTACTCCAAATGGTCAGTGAGTGCTTTGTACAGCACACGTGCGTCGTGCGTGTGTGCTCGTGTACACCCAGAAACATGTTCCGTGCAATAGAGAAAATATTTCCCTCAAGTGAAGAGGAGTCAATGTTTCAAAGGGGCTTCCTTTGTTTCAAGCGGTAAAAGGTCACATGATAAATATTGACGCGTTGCAGCAAATTTCAGAAAGTACGTCCGTTTTTCTCAGATTTATTCGGTAAATTACGGGAGCCGAGCGCCTGCGAGACTCGTGGTAGGCCACCCCGCAGTACTCGCAAGCATTGCAAGCGAGATGTTGCCTACCTATCAGGCGTTAAGAGGGCTTGCATAGGCTAAACTCAAGATTGTAAGGTTCATGTCGACGAATGACGGGCCTACTTTCCGGATGATCGCAGCAGAAGCCAGAGAAGGCTTCACAGAAATGGCATCTCAAAGTAAACGTGTCAGAGATTCACAAGGTCAAGAGGTCATGCACTTGACCTTATGACTTGATATGTCTTCTCTGCAGCTAGGAACGCTCTTAGCCTCCTGTTAATTGAGGCATTTCGGCACTTTCAGGTACATGGCGTTTCGGCAGCGTCCACAACCTTCCCGCCCTGTCGGGCCCGGAGGCCCCCGGTGGTGGCCCCGGAGCCCACGCCGGCGTCCCCGAGCAGGGTCGCACGCGCGCTTGGACCCTGCCCACGAAGCCCGTGGCCGTGGTGCCTTCCAGGGGCCTCCTGCTGGCGGTCGGCCCCAGGCTCCAGGGCCTCCAGGACGCGTCGGACCAGCTCAAGGATGACAGGGACGAAGGGAGCGCTATCCTCCGAGCGCTGCGACCGGCTCTTACCGTGGCGCAAGTGAGTCACCACCCGCCACCCGTCCCTCGCAGGGAGTACGAGCGAAAACCGTCAGACTGCGCGGTGAAAGTCGGTGGAAACAGATTTGGACGCCGCGCTTACTTCTTTTTGCGATCGTAGAAATGCCGAGTCCGAATTGCGTTCATAATCAGTGCAAACGTGCGTGTCCACGTGCCTCTAGGTGTTCGGTCTGCTGCCGGTGAGCAAGCCGTCGGACGCGCGGCATGCGGTTTTCCGTTGGAAGTCGGCGAGGACGGCGCTTGCCGTGACCATCATCGTCGGCGCCGTGCTCGAGTCCATGCTGGCCCTGATGCGCATGGTGGAGACGGGTATCAAGTACAGCACGTCAGGTACGGATAATCCGATGCAATTTTTGCTCTTCTCGAGTGCAGGCAAGTGATAATGACATTGACGAAACAGCCGCCTGCGATATCTCATATATATAGCTGCACGATAAGAAAACGGATGCAGGTGCCTGCGGACACGGCTCCTTACGCTCATCACCTAGAAAGAAGGCTTAGTCACCTTTTTCTACGTACTACCACACTCAAAAGAAAGGAAAGCAGTTCTTAATAGTTTGGCGCGTCTTTAAAACTTGGAGGGTGTCTGGGGTCGCAATCACGACACACAGAATGAGGCGATGAGTCGTTTTGATTGCCTGCACTGTAAAAAGAAACACGGTCACCTGCTACGAAAATGGCCGTTAATTTATGGGACAGTTATTACGTTCCTCGAGCCCTTCCATAACGTATGTTAATGATAGGCTCACGTACACTGTTAAAACCTAAAGCAATGCTTTGTCATTCAAAACATTTGATTTGCAGCTTGCAAAGCATTTGATTTGTAGCTTTAAGGAGCATTTTCTTTGCAGCTGACAAAAATTCGTATTTTGTATTACAAGCCTAGCACAAATGCTTCGAAAGTTTAGTTTCTCAGGATTTATCAGTGTAGGGTGGTCGCTTGCTCGCAGTGCACGCCATCTTCTTCGTGGTCACCTCCGTGGGGCAGATGCTGTTTCTGCACATGAGCGGGCAGTGGCACGGCTTGCTCGTGGACCTGGCGCGCGTGGACGGCACATGCCAGAGGGCGTACGGCGAGCCGGGTCGCCTGCGCGCGCGCACGCTCGCCGTGACTGTGGTGGCGCTCAGCTTGGCCGCAGGTGGGTGCGACAAACCCGAGGGGCTCACTACTACGTCAACCGCTAATTTGTCCGCCTGTCTTGATTTTTCTTGATTTTTTTTTTTATTTCTAATTTCTTTTCGGAATTTGTTCAGCATTTTTACTGATTTTTCCTTGTTTTTTTTCTTATTTTTTGGAGGGTGTACACTGATTTTCTTTGAACGAACTACCCCTTGGACAAATCACCTAAGTCGCTGTCCTTGGCTATGACTAAGGTAACCCCATTTTGTGTTGCATAGTCGAGCACACGCTATCGATGTTGGGCAGCCTGTACTTCGTGTGGCCGTGCTACCAACGTGGAGGTATCCTATTCGTGTGGCAGGGTTACTTTTTGACTAAATATCTCAAGGTATGTTTGTGCCAATAATTGCAGGATTCGTTCGTTGTTGCCAACAACTGACGACCAGGTATAATATTTCCTCGATCTATGCCGCCAGACATTTACTGTGACTGCGTTCGCTACGTGGAAGGCGACGTTGCTTCTGCTCCTGCAGTTCATCAATGTTTTCGTCTGGAACTTTATGGACTTATTTGTGGCTCTGTTCGCCATGGGCCTCTCTTCTCGCTTCCGACAAGTCAACGCCGAGCTGCAGGCGACAAAGACAGAGGCAAGTTTGATGTTGTTTCTTTAGGGACGAGAAATCAAAGCGAGTTACTCATTTCTTGTAACCGTGCAGGTGCTGAGCTCGGAGTTCTGGAAGAGCAAGCGAAAACTGTACAACGAACTTGCTGACTTAGTGCGGCGAGTAGATGACGTCATTGGTCCTCTGATACTCGTGTCTTACGCCACTGATTTATATTTTATCTGCCTCCAGCTGCTGTCGCTTGTCAAGTGAGTGAAGTCTCACTCTATGAAAGCAGCGACGTATTCTCGCTTTTACCGAAAATTCGAAGCTTTCTGCCTGCAGCCCCTCCGGTGTGTCGGTGTACCACCAGGCCTTCTTCTCCTTCTCCATGGGTTACCTCATCCTGAGGATGACGTTCATGACACATGCAGCCGCTAACATTCATGAGGAGAGCAGAGGACCAAAAGAAGTTCTCTTCGCTCTGCCTACGGGAGCCTATTCGGTGGAGGTACTAATCAGTCTAGTGTTGGCGTGCGACTGGCTGCATTTGGTGTGGTTGACATACGGATCTCTGTTGACAGGCGGAACGGTTCCTCATGCAGGTTTTGACTGACAACGTTGCGTTTACTGGTTGCAATTTCTTTTCAATATCCAGGTCGTTTCTCCTGAAGGTAAGGTGCACTTAACAAGTGGTTTTGTTTAGTTTTGTTAATTTTACTTTTGTGATATTGGGGAGGGGGACTTTAATTTTTGGAATAACAATGCTTTAAATCAACTGTAAAAGTAACATCCATGACAGGTGGCGGGGACCATTGTCACATACGCCGTGGTCCTTGTCCAGTTTAATAGCAAGGAGGCGAACCCAGACGCAGCTCAAAGCAACGGCACTATCTTGTGTACCTGCGAGGACATCAGTCGGGACTACAAGTGCTAGGGTACAGACTATATTGTGTAAACTCTTACTCATTCACACGATCAGCTAATAGAAATTGTGGTTTTGTTTTATTGATCGCCACCATAGTCATACAAGAGAAGTTGCCAAAATATCATTCTGCTGTGATGACACTTTCACAAATGGTTCCGTAGAACCATTATGTGCGCGTGCTACTGTTCCACATAATCTTTGTTCATAAGTGTTCACAATAATAATTGTTAGTTGTGAACAGTTAGACTAGTTCATGCTTAGTTATGTAAACAAAAATTAAATGCAAGAACAGCACGCGCACATAGAAGTTCACAACTAGTCATAACTTAGCATAAAAATTGTACAGAAAAATTAAGAGTGTACTCGTCGACGAAATTTTATATTCACTTTCTCAGTTAGTGTATTTTTACAAAAAAATGCTGAATAATTTTGTGAACGCCACTTGTACTGTAAAATAAAAATTGCAATGTTTCAAATAATTTAGTAGAAAGACTTCTGTCTCGGAATGTACTCTTTTCTTCTCACCTTTATTATTATAAACTAGAGGAAATAGTTAAAGAACCATAGCAAATCAAAATTAAAATTGGCGATAGCGTTTGTTTCTCCCTTTTCAGTTATCGTAGGTTAAATAGGCACAATTATTAAGAAATTATTACAAAACTGTAAAAATCCTGAGCTGATTTTAAATTCACTTTATTTAATGGGCCAAAACGCCGTGGCGGCGGCCACGTCGGTGTGGCTTACTCAAAGTGAAGATGCGAGGCGGCGCTGTGATGAGGGGAGAAATGCGACCGATGCCAGGAACCTGGGTAACAAGAAAACGAGTAACTTACTGAATTGACCTTATTTTTAAGGTTCAGTCAATGTAGGAAAAGGAAAACTTCAGTAACAATGTACGGTAATAAGGGCGTCTTCGGTTTTGGAGGATTGCTTTTCGTGGGCCACCCCGTCTCTTTTCCCAGCCATCATCGTGTGTCCGTGTCCGTCGCGGAAGCACGGTCGGATTGTGAAAAAGTACAAACACTCGAAACCAGCGACCAAACTAAAGCCAACGAAAAGACCTGAGAGGCCGCCCAGAGCTCCTGCAAGCAGCACAAAGAATGGACAGAACTGAACGCTAGAAAACGTTTTCACGAAAGCACCTGTATTTGCAAGTCTTTATAAACAGCTAAAGGTGTCCCGCCCAAATGAACTCTACCCAATAGGTCCTCGCGCTGCAGGTGCAAGTCCATCTTGTTCCTCGTGACGATACTGCGTCGCGCGTATACGTGGACCACGGCGTACTCTGATGCGTTTCTTCTACCTGGGTGTCTGCTGCTTCTGCAAGTAATTGTAAAACAATTTTACATATCTTGTAAAAGGAGGAACGATTTATGTCTTATTCCTCTAAATCTGGTTAACTATCGACCCGAACGAACATGAAATCGTTCTGTCGCAACACGTTTTGTATACGATCAGACAATTTCTCGTATTCAGTCATCTCTTTGAATACCAAAGTAATTTAATCTTGCTGAGACCTACACGAAGAAATTGCCCGGGTCAGTACTCCAGTTGAGCGCTCCTGCCGACGACTTGACGATGTACTTCACGTGCTCGCAGAGCGTCCCGCACAGGTGGCAGCGAGCTATGCTGAGTGGCTGGCCGCTCTCGGGGGCTGAAAATCATTGTTAAAATTTGTTTCCGTGTTATGTTTTACAAAATAAGGATCATGAAGTTCGTACGTCCGCCATTCGCCTTTCCGAAACTGTCAAGTTCAGCCTGTGAAAGCTCTCATAGAGCGCCTGATGGGTAGGCAAAATATCGTCTGCAGTGCAGGCGTGTGTAGCGGGGTGGCCTACCCTGAGCCTCGCAGGCGCTGAGCTCCCGTATAATTTGCCGAATGAATCCGAGGAAACGGGCGTACTTCTGGGACCATCCCCTTACGGAGGAGCGATCGATAACAATTCAGAAACTTACAAAAGAGAGCAGTTTGGCAGGGGACGTCCATCAGGTTGCAGACGGTGCGGTTCACTGGAATGACACAAAAAAGAGCCTGTCAACCATCGGCTGAAAGCGCGCATCATGCGAAGCGTCGTTATCATGCACGCAGAGAGAAAATTCGAGTCTCAGTTAGTTTTTGAGGAACCATTAAAACCAAACTAAAAACCACACAAAACAGCCGCAAAGACCTGACTAAACTATTTAGCAACATTGTAATTATTTTTTCTGAACAGTATGTTGCACCACTTTATAAGACGTGTAGCTAGTTGGCTGTCTTTTTTCTTTTCTTTCACTGGTATGAAATCGCG